CCATTAATTTGGCCCAAAGATCTGCTGCAGTTTCAGTCTCACCAATTTTTTTGATCACATTGTCAGAGAGGTAGAGGAATATAGTACTCCAGGCTACTTCTAATTCAGTCTTTTTAGTGTCACTCAAATGTTCGGGCCAAGAACCATCTAAGGCTTTAGCACATTTCATTTGCATTAAAAACAACTCTCATCTTCTGACTCCACATATTAAAATCCCCCCTCCCATCATATTGGTTTAATTCAAACTAAGTGGTAGCCATCACATATGTCAAGAAAATAGGCACGTATGAATCAAGTTACAATAAGGGAAACACTCAAACAAGATACACTAAGCTGATGCACAATTAGACAGGAATAATGCACACGTGTTTATGTATCCAAACAATGAACAAATATTACACAGTATAAAAAAGAACCTTAGACAGAGATCACATTTCCTAGGCTTAATAGAATTAGAATACTACTTTAAAGAAGTATAGGAAAGATCTCACCAAATGAGTGTAATAAACTCAGATTCCTTGAGTAAAGTTCACACAGTTTGGAATAGGTTTCAAATACACAGTTTACTCGATTGTTCGGTATCAAGATTCAACAAACCAAGCTCTGATACCACTGAAAGGTCGAACAAACAAGTATGGATTAATCAAGATCAAAAACCTAATTAACAGAATATAAACATAAAGTGCAAGAATAAAGAAAATCAACACAAGAATTTTTCTGCCGTAGCCCCAGAGGTTCGGCGACGACTTCTAACGCCTAATCCTCTGTTGAGCATCCATTATAAATGGATAAAGCTCAGTTGCACTATAAAGCCAAAAACTGGCAGCCAAGATACAAATATATTCCAAGATATTACAAGAAACAAGTCACAGAGACTTATCTTTGGAGAATCACACAGATTGAACTATTCTCCACCTAGATCTCACTCCAAGCTACTTCAATTAGACACAGAAGTCTACAGCTCACAAGAATCGCACATATTCTTATCTCAGAACACTCAGTACAACACATTAAGCTTTCGATCTGAACTATTACATATTCTACTTACTAATTTCATCAAGTATGATGAACCTTAAATCACGAAGAATAAAAGAGTTTCACAGAAGGGAGTGAGAGAGTTCTAAATCTCGAAGAAAAGTGATTCCAATCATTCGGTCAAGTGGGTATATCAAGTTAGAAGCTTCTAGAGCTTCATCCAATGGCCACCAGAACACCACGTGTCACAATCCAATTGAATGCACCCACTTAAAGAGTTGTCATATGGAAACACTACTTTTACTTAATTTTGGAAGCACACTTACAGCCACAGCCAGGTCCAGGGTTCGAAACTTAACATGTAGGAGTTAACATCTGGATGGAATATCTTGAATTTATCTACATATGTAGAGCAAGGAAATACGTGGTTTGAGAGTGCCATAACAGCCATCATTCATAGAGACTATTAGAGAGTCCAGTCAAATAAGGTGTTTCTATATCTAACTTTATGGCAATCTATTTGTATAAAACACATGCACACAATCTTAGGTAAACCATCACTTCAAAATGTTGGTTTTCTTACAGAAATGAGTTTTTTCATCAAGTATTGCATTTTTACCAGAGGCTTCCAATCATGTGTATTGTATTTTTGGCATTGAGAATTTAATAGCAGAAAGGGGAAAAAAAGAGAGGGAAAAACAGGTTTTTAGTTTTAATTTCTTGGGATGAGTCGGGGGAGGGGGGTAATGGGGCACCTTGTAATTGGGTGGTTGCTATTTCAATGCTCAGTCACCATCCTCGATGTAGCTGTGTTTTTTTTCCTTTTTCAAGCTTGTCTAATGTTTTATTTTTGTTTTTCTTTTGATCCTTTTCTATTGAATTTATTATTGGATATTAAATACTTATATTATTTCCAAATGATGCGCACGACCTAATCTTTATATTTGTCTTGGTTGAGATCCTAGTTAATTTCAGGGAAAATTCATAGGTCAGGGATTATCTTTCACGAAAAGTTTTTAGTCTAGGGTTTCAAATTTAAATGTTTTGAGTCTAAAAAGGTACTTAATTAATTAATTATTTTACAATTAATCTATTAAATTAAATATTTAACTGTAATATAAAATACTCCACCCCACCTCCACCACCACCACCACTCCGGCGACTATTTTGACGATCGGCGACTACTCTGGCAACTATTCTCCGGCCGCGCTTAATTCCGGTAAACATTTTTCGGTGACCGTTAATTCCGGTAACTGCTCCAATTCAAAGGTCACAGATTAAAAAAATTATATGTTACAGGTCACGTATTTTCAAATTTGTGAGTCACATATTCCTTTTTTAGTTACAAATTATCAATTTTAAAGTCACAGTTCAATTGCGAGGTCACGGATACAAAAAAAAAAAAAACCACCACAGTTCAATAACGAGGTCACAGACACCAGAAAAAAACACCACAATTCAATAGCTAGATCACAGACACTAGCTAGGTCATAGACACCATAAAAAACCACCACAATTCAATAGCGAGGTCACAGACACAAAAAAAAACCACCACAGTTCAATAGTGAGGTCACAGACATCAGAAAAAACCACCACAGTTCAATAGCGAGGTCACAGACACCAAACAAAACCACCACAGTTCAATAGCTAGGCCACAGACAAAAAATAAAAAAAAACCACCACCGTTGACCCCGCCACAACAATAACAAAAAATAACCACCATCACACGGATCACCATCACCACCACACGACCATCACCACATCCCAAAACATACCACCACAGATCCACCACCTCCACAACCACACATCCCCAGTTGCAGGCTACACAACAATAAACCCAACTTCCATTAGCTACTAAACACTTATATACGAAACACACAAAGCACAAACACCATCATTACGCTCCACCTCAGCCACCACAAAATCACAGAAAAAATACCACAAATCGGGATCTGGAATAGATCTCCAAGAGGCGGACAACCACAAGTGTCTTCGCGACGCTGCTGCTGTGACCCACAACAGCGCCAGACGCTGCTAGGTCGCAATAGCGACCCTCGCTGCTGCGACGTGCAGCAGCGCGCTGCTGGGTGGCAGCAGTGACGCTCGCTGCTGCTAATCGCATCAGCGTTGCAGTGACGCTGCTGCGATTCGCAGTAGAGGGAGGGGGAGAGAAGAAATGAGGGAGGAAGAGACAAAAGAAATGGGGGAGGAGAGGGGAGGAGTAGGGTTTGAGAATTGAAATTTGGGGGTAGGGGTGGGTATATATTTAATTTAATTTAAAATATTATTGTTAATATTAATTGTGAAATTAAAACCTGATTTTTGATTAAATAAAATATAAACCTGATTTTTTAAAATATCAAACTAAACACCTGGTTTAGTGTAATTTTCCCTTAATTTCACACTGAGATATTAATTTAAGCCCAACTTTTGAGTTTTGAGCACCTTTACTTATTTTGCGGGCTTTAAAAAGTTAACACCGAGTGGAAAAATTAAATTAGTATGGTTAACCCCTTACTCATTATTTTTCTTTCTTTTAATCTCAATTCTTTTTTACTAAGCAAAATCTAAATTTAAGACGTGCAGAGTATGTTTGCCATGCATTAGTGATTATAATTAAGTCATGAAATTTGTTTATCCATTATAATCGACCACTTGTTTATCCATTACAATTTAGCCATGAAATCTGATTTTGAACGGTGTAATAGGGTTTCTCCCCAGAGAATTCATAAAGTATGTCAATGCCGCGCACATCCACACGAGTAGGTCGACGGTGCTGAAATAAATGTATGGTTGATTCAAGTGATTCTGAGGTTGATTCAAATGATTCTGAAGTGATTCCCTCCTGTGGCAGTCCTTGTCTTCGGATATCAAGGAGAGGACTGAACATTATCCATACAATAGGAAGGATGCTAAACCTACAAAATAAGACATTTTACATAGGATGGGTACAATTATCTTTCGCTTAGTATGTTATAATATCGTTAACTTACCGAAATTCTAAATGTTGCATAGATTCTATCAACCATTAGCATATTATGCTAGAAACAATCAAAAGTCATTCATCTTATACATGTTGTAAATATGTAAAAACTCCAATACTGGATGAATAGTGAATTTTATGTTTGTCTAAATTTTTCTTTCATAGACACGATAACATTACCTTAAAAATAACAAAGTATGTGCATTGCAGGGACATAAGACTAATATATCTATAATCATTAATAAAAATTAAAGAATTTTTTTAGACAAATAAAATTGAATATTTTTAGGGCATGCTTGATTTAACTTTTTGAAAATAGATTTTGCGAAAAGTGATTTTTTAAGCCCTGTTTGGTACCTATTATTTTCAAAATACATTTTCACTTTTATTTTCTATCACACATTTTCAATAAAATAGTATTACACATAAATCTAATTTTTTTTACCATACATTTTCCAACAAAATATTATTTGAAAATGCATTTCGAACAAAAATGAGGCTCAAACAGACACTCAGAATGTGTAGTTAAAAGTTAAAAAAAATTATAGATTGACGTATAAAATTATTTTATTAGAATAACATCTTGAAGTGAAAAATAAATTTTAAAGAATTTGTATGACCAACGAGTTTGGGAAACGTGGTGGTGTGAATATTACACCCTTATTTGGTCCATATTATTTTTAAAATATATTTTTCTCTATTTTATTTTTAATCACATGTTTTTTTTAATAAAATAATATTATACATAAATTTAATTTTTCTTTTATTATTTTTAACCATATAGGCATATATATATTGATTATATTCTTTGTCAAAATCTTATTTCAAAATGCATTTTTTGGAGGCTGAAACAGGAGCTATATGTACACTACAACGAGGCAAATATTTTCTGAATTACTGATTTTGTACTGACCGTAGTCAAGTCAAATATCGAAGTTTTTTCTGGCCGCCCGGCAACCGCTACAGAAGAACTGAAGGAGACTGGGGTATTACTGTATCAATACATATATTGAGATATATCTGATTTAGGATAACAGGAAATATGACGAAGAAAGAGAGTGAACTGGGAGAAAACCTACCCACAAAACGCACAGCAAGGAAAATTTTTGGAACACAGCAAATCAGTGAAGACGATGCTTCAAGCCTTGTTGGAGGCATAGTCGAAAAGGGTTTTTCAGATAATCCTCAGTTCAGGCCAACAGGACCATCATACGCGCCTCGCCCAACCGTTCTTCCTTTTCCGGTGGCCCGCCACCGTTCTCACGGCCCAGTAATCCCCTCCCTTATACCTTTTTCATTTCTTTCATGCATTTTCATTATTTTTTAGTATAATCACCATTGATGCTTGAAATAGGAGGAAAAAAAAAAAAGAAAAAAAGTAAGGGTTTGTCCTCTGTTATGGGTCTCTTAAGAAACAAGTTGAATTTAGGACCATGTGAATTTGGCCATTATTTACCAAGATTTTTATGTTATTGTGATTTCTTTTTTCCCACTGCTTTACATTATAGGGGTAGATTAAGGGGTTTGCTTATGCAATTACTGCCTCTAACCAAAATATGTTCTGACGTTTAAATTATCCTGTTGCGCATGGTGCAATCAATGCTGAAAGTTTCTAACTTTTGGGTTAACATTACTTGGCCTGTTGTCACATAATGAATTATGTATTTCTAGTTATATGTAGAAGTCGTGAAATACTTTGAAAGCCATAAAGACAATGATGAGAGAATGATATTTTGATAGTTGTTTATCTATAACAGCATTGGTCTGCAAAGGTTGGGGGTTCTAATGGTATTGATGAGGAAGATCAGGAAGATTTTACAGGGATGAACATGGCTGCCACTTTTGCTAATCCAGTACAAAGGAAAGAGAAGATAAATTTGGATTTTAGCTGGTTGCGAGAGACAATGAACAAAAATGGTGGTTCCGTCCCTTATGAGAAGAAAAGGCAAGGGCATATAATTGGGTCGAAAGAGTGGAAAGGGGGTAAAGAAGCAAATAAAAAAATTTCTGATGGCTCAGGCAGGCGGATCCTTACTCAGGATGATGCCCTGTTAAATAGAACTGACTTTGATGCAAAAGAGAAGGATGTAACTATGGAGGACGAGGTTTCCATAATCCCAGAAGAGGTCAAAGAGAAAAAGCAAGACATATTGGCAATGGCCATAGATGACGGTCAAGGTAACTTTAAATGTAGTACTGCTGAGAATTTTGTCCAAACGAAGGAAAGGCCAAGGGGTGGGATCATTCAAGCTCGGGAAGGTTTTAAGGGGAATATGGAGCCTCAACTGCAGAATAGGTCAATTAAAGATATTGAAGTGGATATGGAGATGCTGGTAGATGAACAAGCGGCCACAAGTCTAGAAAGTCAAATTGATCTTGAAAATCGTGCTCGATTGGAGAAAATGTCCGCCGATGAGATAGCAGAGGCGCAAAGTGAGATAATGACAAAGATGAGTCCAAAATTAATAAATGCATTAAGGAAAAGGGGCCAAGACAGGTTGAAGAAACAGAAGATTTCTGTCTCAGATATTGGTACTAATGGCTCATCAGGCACTGAGCAAAAAAGAAAAAATCTGATTAACGAACCTGCAATGTCTGGTGCTAGTAGTAGCTCCCACGAGGTTCTGAAATCCTCTTCTGAGGACTCACTGATAGATAAAGATGATAAGGTCGTTCCAAATTTGAGCTCAAAAGGTAGCAGCTTGTGGGATTCTTGGAGCAAAAGAGTTGAGCGTGTCAGAGATCTAAGATTTAACTTGGATGGGGACGTTGTTAAGCCTGATTTTACTCAGGTATCAGATGCTGGTAAGGCTAAAGGACTAGCTTATTTCACTTTCAATTTTTGTTTATGCTGTGAAATTATCATTATTTATCCAATGCTGGCTCCGTGGCTTAATAGAGCATTACATCTCTTCCCCTATGCATTCTACTATATTTGATGGATATTAAGAATGGGGAAAAATTACCTGGCGTCTCCCGAACTTTTTAGCAGCTCTATATTAATAAATGTTGTTTTTTATGGTTGCTAATTCATAGTTCTTCAAGCAGATCCGATCCTTTTCTTGTTAATGACATTCAGGTGGAACTATTTCCTCGTACAAAAGCTACTCCTTTTAGCACTATCATCACTGTTCTATTAACCTGGCTTCTTAATTTTGAAAGCAAATGTTACTTAACAAATATGCCATATTGTGTTGCTCTCTCTTGAATCTCATTCTCTTATTGATAGCCTTTCTGAATCTCTGATGTCATTATATGTACTTTCAAGATCTAAAACTCATTCGTACGTTCGAAGTGGTTTGGTTGATATTGAAGTCTTTCTTTCACAGTTATTCTCCAAGCTTTTACTGGACTTCATGTAGGATCTCTCTCTGAGTCTCTGTCTCCTGCATTAGGTTCATGGTCATCTCCAGCTTTGTAATTAATATTAATCTATGGGATGCCCCAATTTTTTTTTTCAACTTTGGATGTCTGAGGCATAGTATTAAACGTCTGAATTTCTATCAGCATATTTTAACTTTAAATCACAACCAGATTTTAGACTTATGAAGTTGACACATTAGACGTCTCAAGTGCAGTAAATTTTTCCAGAAACATTTGAAAATATAAAATGCTCAATCTTTGTAAACTCATTAGTAACTTTTATGTTTCTTACTTTCAGATTTGCTTGAGGTTAGGTTGAAGTTTGATTAAAGTGCAAGTGCAAAATGGTTAACAACTCTTACCCTTTTGGGACCTCTCTTTTCTTTTCTAGACTGACTTAAAATCTTTGAACATGTGTTTTCTCTGTTACTTTGCTAAAGTATTTCATTTCGGATTCTTTTCTATCATGTGCCTTCTTTTCTCCAACATGAAATTTTTTGCCGTTACATTGGTTCTGGCGTTCTGCTGAACCTATGTAATTTAGATCTATTATGCTTTCTTGTTACTTTTAGATGAAGTGTCTGCCTAAAGATCTTGATACTTTTTTCTGTCATCTCACTGTAGGTAATATGCGAGCTCATAGTGGATATAGTGCAGATAACGTCTCTGAACGTGATTTTCTTCGAACTGAAGGTGACCCTGGTGCTGCTGGTTATACCATCAAAGAAGCAGTGGCTCTAACTAGAAGTGTGGTAGGTTAAAATTGTTGTTGGAACCTCAGAACTACTTACTTTCCTTTCTTTGCATGAAATCTATCATATTTTTCCAGAGTAATATATGTTGGACTATTTTTGGAACTCGTTTCAGGTTCCAGGGCAAAGAGCTCTTGCTTTACATCTGATTGCATCTCTCCTTGATAAGGCAAATTGCAGTATATACCAACGGCAAGTTGGTTGTAATATGAAGTTTGCTGAGGCTGATGGGTCTATTGACTGGGAGGCTATATGGGCTTTTGCCCTTGGTCCAGAACCTGAGCTTGCTTTATCGCTAAGGTAAACTTTGAAGGCTTCCTATTTATAGTTTCATTTCTAGTCATATTGGATTATTTGTCTAACTAATTTTTTTTCAGATCTCCGTGTTAGATTCATATCTGATATAGATGTCACTTCTTGAAGTCTTTGTCAAATTTCTATCTTTGCCACTCCCCTATAACTGAATAAAATATTGCCAATTTGATACCTTGCATGTGAAAATTCGAGTTCTCTGGCATGGCATTGCCTCTGTGCATTTCATGATCTTCTGCTTCTATGTATGATGTTTATCGACCTCTGCTTAGAGGGGTCGAGTGGGTGTAGGATAACCTTTTCAAAGATCTATGGCGCTATAAGGCTCACTAAATTTTGTTTTGTTCAAACAAGAATGTGATTTTAACCCTAAGCTTCTCAATTTACTAGTGGCACCAGAGGTTCCGCCTTACGATAAATATTTAATGTCCTTTGCGCTTTTTTGTACGCCAATATGTGTTCTTAATACTCTCTCTCTGAATTATTTTTATTCTCAATAATATGTAAGTGAGAATGTTCTGCCTATGAGCCTGAAACTTTGATTTGGTCTAGAATGTTACCTGATGTTCTTATGTATTGTAGAATATCTCTTGATGATAATCATAATTCTGTTGTACTGGCTTGTGCCAAAGCCATTCAGTCTGTGCTAAGCTGTGATATAAACGAAAACTTCTTCAATATCTCAGAGGTAGAGTTACATTTTTGAAGTATCTTTTCTTGTGTTATTCTTGGATTACATTCTTAACTAACTACTAGTCTCTTCTGTTTGCAGAAAATACCAACTTATTCACAGGATCTTTTTACTGCACCTGTATTTAGAAGTAAACCCGATATTTTTGCTGGTTTTCTTCGTGGTGGCTTTTGGAAGTATAACACGAAGCCTTCTAATATTCTACATCTTGACGATGATCCCATAGATGATAAATCTGAAGATGAACACACCATTAAGGATGACATTGTTGTTGCTGGGCAGGATATTGCTGCAGGCTTGGTTAGGATGGGAATTCTTCCAAGGATATGCTATCTCTTAGAGGTAAGCATTTTGATGCTAATAAGCAGTTTCCTGCTCCAGCTTGAGAAAAATGCCTAAAATGTTATACCATATGGAATTAATAAGACTTACTGTATCCTACATAATCAACTTTTGTGGTGCCAGACAAGCCCTTCGGCACCTTTGGAAGAATGTTTAATATCCATTCTCATTGCAATAGCAAGGCACTCCCCAACATGTGCAGCGGCAATTATTAATTGTGATAGGCTTGTTCAGACAGTTGCCGACAGATTTGCTGCGAATGAACAGATTGAAATATATCCCTGCAAGATAAAATCTGTGAAGCTCTTGAAAGTAAGCTACGTTTTTCCATAATTCAATCCATTTTGTTCTACATTCATGTTTGATTTTTTCCTCATAAGATATTCTTTACACTTGTTCAAGGAAAAGTCTTTTATAAGTATTTTTCTTGATGCTTAAAAGGTGTTGGCTCGGGTTGAGAAAAAGAACTGCATAATGTTGATCAAGAACGGGATTTTTCACAAGGTGACATGGCATTTGTATCGATATCCATTCTCTCTCGACCAATGGGTAAAATCTGGAAGAGACGTTTGTAAACTTTCATCAGCTTTGCTGGTTGAACAGTTACGTTTCTGGAAGGTTTGCGTTCAGTTCGGATATGGCATTTCTCAATTTCCTGATTTGTTTCCTTCATTATCCATTTGGCTGAATGTACCTACGTTTCCCAAACTAATTGAAAATAATGTCATAATTGAATTTGCTGCCATCACCAAAGAAGCCTACCTTCTTCTGGATGCTTTAGCTAGCAGGCTTCCCAATTTCTATTTACAGATGCATCAAGGAATGGAGGTTACAGCTGAAGATACGGAGGTTTGGTCATGGAGTCAAGTTGGTCCTATAATTGATTTAGCCATTGAGTGGACAAAAGTAAATAGCATTCCATATATATCCAGATTCCTAGACTGGGATGAAGATGGTGGATATTGTATTTTGCAGGATTCAGAAGTAAATTGTTTGTTATGGATTATTTCTTCTGTTATGCATATGTTATCCAGTGTGCTCAAAGCTGCCACCCCAGAGGATGCAACGAGTTTGTACAATGGGCATGTGCCATGGCTGCCGGAGTTCGTACCTAAGATCGGACTTGAAATTATTAGAAATGGATTTATGAGCTTTTCAGGGCTAGTTGGTACGTCTGATGATAACAATGCTGGAAGTGGCTCCTTCCTTGAGTATCTGTCTCACCTGAGACTAAAAAGTGGTCGTGAAACATCAATATCTTCTACATGTTGCCTTCATGGATTGGTACAGGTAGTTGCTTCTGTGGACAAGTTGATCCACCTTGCTAAACACGAGTTTCATAATGCACCAGCTGAATATCAAAAAATTTCAAGGGATGAAAAAATTCTCGCAGATGGGATACTTCACTCCTCTGTGGTTGAATTAGGCGTTTTGCTGTCTTCTTTTATGAAGTTAATTGCCAATGGTTGGCAATGTATACGGTCCATTGAAATGTTTGGAAGAGGGGGGCCATCTCCAGGGGTAGGCGTGGGCTGGGGTTCTCCTGGTGGAGGGTATTGGTCTACAACAACTTTATTGGCTCAACAAGATGCGAGACTGGTTATGTACTTGCTTGAAAATACTCAGAATGCCTTTACCAAAGATCCATCAACAGATGAAGAGGTGTGCTTTAAAATGCAATGGATAAATTCTGCTGTCGAAGCATGTATGATTGCAGGGCCTAGGGATAAAGCCATTATTGATAAGCTGCTGGATATCTTGTTACAGGTTCCTGTTCTGAAGTATCTCGATTTTGGTATACGCCAGTTTCTTTCTCGTAGAGAAGGATTCAAACCCTTTGGGTGGAAATATGAAGAAGAGGAGTACCTGCTGTTTGCCAATGTTTTGGCTACACATTTCAGAAACAGATGGCTCAGTGTAAAGAAGAAATTAAAAACTACTGGCAACCACAATCATGTTAATTACAAAAGACACAAGAAAGGTAGTCTTCCTCTAGAAACTATTCACGAGGATACAGATAGACCACTCATGGTTGGTCAAGGGCCAACTTCCTTGATAATGGAGTGGGCTCATCAGAGATTGCATCTTCCTATACATTGGTTTCTCAGTGCAGTATCAACTATTCAGTATGAGAAAAACACCGATATTCCTGTAGACTTTCTTGAAGTTGCTAGAGGTGGACTTTTTTTCCTCCTAGGAATTGAAGCAATGTCTACTTTCGTTGCTGCGGAGTTCCAGTCTCCTGTTGGTAGTATTCCGATTGTCTGGAAATTGCACGCTTTGTCTGTCACCTTACTTGGTGGAATGGGTGTTCTTGAAGAAGAAAAGAGTAGGGATGTTTTTGAAACTTTGCAAGATGTCTATGGGCAAGTCCTTGAAAAATTCAATATGGAGTCGCTTTGCTTCCAGTCGGAGATACATGAGAGTTACTCTACATTCGTAGAAACTCTTGTGGAGCAATTTGCTGCTGTGTCTTATGGTGACATGGTATTTGCTCGGCAAGTTGCAATCTATTTGCACAGACGTGTCGAAGCTCCTGTAAGGCTGGCTACATGGAATGCTTTATCTAATGCACGAGTTCTTGAACTTTTACCACCTCTGGAGAAGTGCATTGCTAAGGGTGATGGTTATCTTGAACCTGTTGAGGTATTTTGTTGATATGCTAGTTAAAAGTTTTGTTGTCTATGGAAGTACTTGTTGCGTTACGTATAATTATTGCCATTTATCAAATAAAGCTTCAGTTAGTTTCAACTAACACTAGTTTTGAAACAAACACATTTTAGAATTAGGATATGAGTACATGCTAAAGTTTCAATGGATTAAGAAAAAACACTCGCTTGATTCTGTATCAATGACCTAAGAATTTTGATCTAAGAGGGCTATTTCATTTTCCTTTCTTTTTTTTTTTTTTTGGAAAAAAATGGGATTCAAGCATTAAATGGTATTATGGAATCCATGAAAGATTGAATGTGTGATATCCTTGGTCAACCTATTCTATGCTATTATCATTAGTCAATAATTTTATTTCGTCTACCTTCAATGGATTTGGATTATTTAACAAGTAGAATTTTGTGGTCAGTTTTTCTCTATATAATTCTAAAGGAAATATAATTTCAATAATTGTTAGTAAATCCTTATGTTATAATAACTCAATACCATTCCTTTTGGCCATTAGTTTAATATAATATTCGTTGTTCAAAAGTATAGCGCAATGTACTATCATCAATTAGCTTTCATGGTTGTTTAGACGAAGGCGCCCTGGGAAAAATCTTGTGTCAATGGCTCATAATTTCATTCTTCAACAAAGAGATTAAAGCCCCTATTTGGTTTATTCTTCCTTCATCTTCTCTTTTAAAATATTAAGCTAGTACTATGAAAAACTCACAGATTTCCCAGAAGTTTTTTCCCCTATGCAAGACCCTGAAGTAGTTATTATGAACTAAAATACAAGTGCTATTCATTTTTCCGCAGGATGATGAAAGAATCTTGGAAGCTTATGTGAAATCATGGGTTTCTGGTGCTCTTGACAGAGCAGCAACTCGAAGATCAGCAACATTCACATTGGTTCTACACCATCTTTCATCTTTCCTTTTTGAGAATGTTTGTGATAGTACACGCACACTCCGCAATAAGTTAGCAAGATCTCTGCTGCGTGACTGTCCTCGTAAAGAGCAACGTCAGGTATGAAAGTTTACTGGTAACCAAGGAACTTGATATGTGATAGATCGAATTTGGGAATTTTTATGCCATTTATGTTTGTCACAGACAAGCTTCTAGATAAAGCTTCTAGATAAAGCATGTTTGCAGGAAGTTAAAGTTTTTACTTTCATAAAAGTTTTAAAATAAAATATTTTTTGAGAAGGTCGTCCCATGCATGGCTAAGCTTAAAACTTCAGTTATTTTAAAATAACAGTTATTTTAAAATAACTAGTTTTTTTTTGGTCAAAGTTGCAAATAAATTAATTATTATTTCCAAAATAAGTAACTTTCTTACTTGAAAGTAAGAAAAAGTTGTCAAAATGTGTTTGGAAAAAGTAACTTTATACTTTTAATTACCGAACATGCTCATGTTTCTGGGAAAGATGAAATCGTGCACTTCTGAGTACTATGAATATGAAACACTTTTCTATTAAAATCAGTTATTATCTGACGTCTTAAACTTCACTGGAAAAGTTCTGTTATCATATTGATAAAGCATGTGAATTAAATATTTAGCTCCGATCCCACCTTGATTGGCCACTGGAAAACAGGAGAATAAAATATTTTGTTTGGTTGGTTGTTTGAGGTACATGCTTATCCAGTTGATGCAATTTTTCGACAGAACATGTTGATGGAATTAATACAGTACAAGAAGTCGGTCCCTCATGCAGAGCCCATATCAAATGTAGCTTCTTCTCTACAAATCTGTGTAGGAAAGAGGTTCCAATTATTGAAAGAAGCTTGTGAAGGAAACTCCTTGCTTATAACTGCAGTGGAGGAGCTGGAGTCCTCAACACACTTGCATATAGAGGGCATGAGATTATCTTAGAGCTTTTGTTTAATGTTTCAACCTGCCTGGAATACTTAGAGCAGATGGATTTCTTGTTGCTTATAGAAGCGACTGCAGATGTTACTACATATTCAATACACAGTTTTGGATAGTGTTGGACTATATAATGAACAATACTAAATCCCGTCCATGTAATTATTTGGTGTTTGTTGGGGATTGTTTATTTGAAGTGAAAAATGTTTTTCTTATTGGAAAATGTGTCGTTAAAAAGTAAAGAAAATTTATGTATTCTCGTTCAAAATTATTTTATTAGGAGAATGTATGATTGAAAATGAGCTCGAGAAAAAAGTGATTTTCAAATAAGTTATGCCAAACCAATGTTTAGTTGACTTGGATTTTTAACGTTAAACGGAATTCATAATTGCATAGAGGATGGGGAGAAAGTAAAATGGCTATTATATTCCTTTTCAAATTAGAGATCTTTCTTATCTTTGGGAAGATATATGAGTGAAATGATCAATGTCTTGATATTGAAAGATCCAATGGATTCTTCGAATATGTTCTAACGAAATTCATAGGTACAGGAAGTTCTCTTAAATAAAGATTTTTTCTTCGGGAAGATTTCATAATTAAGAAGTTTAGTTTTACTAATTTTAAATTTAAGATATTATGTTTAGAATTTTAAATTTCAGAGTTTTTTAAATTTTATTTACAAATTAATTAATTCAACATATATTTTATTAATTAAATATATTAAGGTCACAATTTCATATAATTTGGTCACATATTATTAAAAATCGTGCTACATGTACAACATTGGTTGACAACTTCATATTTGACATCATCATATCCATCCATTTTAAAAGATTTTTTTTACATCACATATTAGGATTTTGACAACACATGGTTGTCAACCAATATTGTACATTTAGATTTATTCTATTATTAATCGGTCACAAATCACAATTTTCATGTCGCAAATTATTTTACGGTCACAATTCAAAATTTTTATAGGTCACAATTTGTTTATCGGTCAAATAAAAAATTGAAACGTCACAAATTATTTTACTGTCCAATTCAAAAATTTTATATCAAATTTTATATGTTACAANTTCAAAAATTTTATATAAAATTTTATATGTCACAATTTGTTCATCGGTCACAAATCAGAAATTTTATAAGTCACAAATTATTTTACGGTCACAAATCATAAATTTTATATATCACAAATTATTTTACAGTCACAATTCAGAAATTTTATAAGTCATAATTCGTTTATCGGTTATAAATAAAAAAAATTTATATGTCACAACTTATTCATCGGTCACAAATCACAAATATTATAAGTCACAACTTAGTAGACAGTCACAAATTGTCAAATTATCGGTCACAAATTAACAAATTTTTAGGTCACACATTATTTCTAGGTTACAATTTATATTTTTCATTTGTCACATATTGTTTATTGATCACAGATTAACCAATTTAATAGTCGTGACCACCACCTCACCACTCCCTCCAGCAGCACCATCGCCACAGTCGCCGCCAGAACTACCACCAACTCTCGCCAACAAACACCATTTCAAACAAATCAACACATCGTAGAAAAATATACACATCGACACGCCGATCCACCACCACCTCGACTGACCCATCGCCACCATCATCTCACCATCACCTCTGACCACCACCACCTACTCACCAGCTCCACAGCCAACGTTATCAGTCACCACCACCCAACCACCACCAAAAAATCAGATTTCACATTATCAGTCACCATCATCGCACCTAACCACTGCGCGCATAGTACACCACTACCACTGCCGCCATCCCCTCTATCTCCATCTCACCACACCACAACCACAATCCCCACCAAAAATCTACAAAACCCGCTGCCACTACCACCACACACTAACACCACCGAACCACCACCTCAAAAACCACCAGAAAACATGTAGCAAAACCACTACAAAACCACCGATCTGTGTATACAAGCAAAATCATTACAAAAATCGCTGGAGAAACCACTCGATTGAATGCCGAGATCTGTAACCCGGAAAAACCACTGGATTGAACGCATGTGAAGAGATGCACTGCGCGAAGATATACAACACCGAAAAAACCATTGGATTGTGCATCCATGAGCAGAGGCGTCGCACTGCAGCTGTGTGAAGCGACGGCTTCTCCTCTAGGGAAGGCAAAAAAGCTCGGACGGCTCGGGCTCGGTCGCACCGAGCCGAGGCTTAGGCCGAGCCCCATGTGGGGGCTCTGAGCCGAGCCCTGGCCGGCCCGTGTTATTTATTAAAAAAAAAATTAAAATAAATCTGCCTGCTATTGCAGGCAGCACGAAGCTGCCTGTAGCA